CGACTAATACTGTAACTGAAAATGATGGGTAGCTATATGTCACGCATGCGCAGCAGCACAAAGGCAAGGCAGTTGGGTGACAGTGAGCAGCCGACAAAAAAGACAGCCAAAAATGTAGCCTCAAGTAGCCCTCCGTATCGAGGAGATGTTAGTTTGGTGGAGGCGGTAGAAGGAGTAGAGGAGGCTTCAGGGAAAAGCGGTTCTTACCGAAACGCAGGGGCTGGAGCTGGTGCTGGGGGTCGGTGAACGCTGCACGGTAACCAGCGCCATTCAGCGACCGGGAAGCGGACACCTGAGAAGAAGCGACGGCGGAGACACGAGCATAATTGTGTTGTGAGGGCGAAAGCCCAGTTGAACCTGACTTTTTGATCTTCTCTCCTTTAACCCCCCTCCCTCTCTTTCCCTGTGATCGTACACTGTTTGACTACTCCCCGGCTGTTTCCTCTGTAAGCGCCACCTGCGCATGCGCAACTACCCTTAGCTTGTCAATCCCGATTAACCGTGTGTGTGCTGGAGATAAACAAAGCACTTATGAGGAGTGTCTACAGAGAAGCAATGCTACTTCTTAAGAGGTCATTTATTTGAATAGAAGTGTAAATGCACCATTATGTAAACCGCATACAACAATTGCATTACAAGGTTTAAGCCTAGAATCGAATAGAATAGAATCGAATAGAATAGAAAGCCTACATTGTTATTGCAATTCAATTACAAAGAGATTGGGAGTGCCACCCCAGCTTGATGAAACAAGGTTGAAGCTAAAGGAAAGCAAACTACAAGACTGTATAATAAGTATGTATATAAATAACATAAAATTAATAGAATATTTTAAGGGTTTTATTGTGTGACAGTGTGTGTGAGTGTGTACTGTGATTGTTCACTTTGCATTTTGGTTGAGAGTGGTACTGGCCTTAGGGTACAAACTGTTTCCACAACTGTTAGTCTGAGATTTAGTGACCTGTAGCGTCTGCCTGAGGGCAGAAAGTCAAACCAGTGGTGGCAGGGTGAAAGGAGGCTTTTACAATGTTTTGGGCAGTGGAAACTAAGCAGTCAGCATACTATACTGTGTGGCTTTTCCTTGAAACTACTCACACAGACTACTACTTTAGGACTGTTGTAGTTAAACTAATGAAGCTTGAGGACAAATATATCCTAATACTCTGTAGGCATGCTGCTTTAATTTTAAATAAATTGTATCTTTAATATTTTAAATATAGCAGCAAAAGACATTAATATTGATAGATGTATAATGATCTCAAAGTGCTTCTTAATGCGGTTTATTGATTTAAGAGAGTTTATTTGCATAAAATACTTTTATACATATGCTGCTGTCAGTTTAATTAATTTACAATGATCTGAGACCAAAGACTTTACCAAATCCACTTTCGTAAATTGCTCTCAAATCTGAAAAGCAAGACTAAATTGGAAAAACCTTTGTAGAAAATGGCTAAAGAGAATTAGTCTAAACCTGTTGTACTCATGCTTAAGGCTGGGGAAAAGAAAAAAATGGGGCACCTTCCTGTAGTCTACCAGCCAGCAGTCATATGATATTTTGTAAGCATACGCAAGTAGCTTCCTGTCCAAACCTGTACAGCTACACTGTTATCTTTGTTGCCTGAGGGCACAGATCAAGGATAACAGGAACCTGTCAAAAACCACAGACGTAAATATATTAAATGTGTGTCATCATCAGCAAGTGTAACACAGCCCAGAGACCAGCACATGGAGGTATGCACAGATTCATCATGCCAGGACTACTACTGCCATTACCTGTTGTGAAATCTGGTTTCACTCTCTCCATTCGTCTGCACAGACTTAATTGTTAAAAATCAAAAACTAAGGCATTAAACAATAATTCACTGTATTTCCTTGAAGGCACTGGTAGTTCCTTTTCTCCCTATTTTCTCTGTTGCACAAAAAGCGAAAATGTTTCTTTTAGTCACCAATATCCACATATCCCTATCCAATATCCCTACTACGTGAATGTTACTTAAAGCACTTCTTCTGGCCTTATGTAAACCTACCTGTCCATTTAACCAGCACTGCATAGTTCATTTGATCGCCATATAGTTCGTTCATCTATCAGGCAGGTTTGGTCGTGAATCGCAAGGATTAGCAGTAAGGCCACAGGGGAGATGAGATGCAGATTACGGAAGAGATAATGGTGTTTGGATTTAGAGTCACTCAGATGAGGCGGCTGGGACTGAAAGCTACAGCTTTAATCGCAGGTGAGCCGTGCGCTCTTTGATCTTATTTAATGGAATGAATTAACGTGCAGGTTTAGAAGAGAGCATTTGACAAAACAAATCAAATTAAAATAAATGAAAGGTGTTTGAGATTTATCAGCACTTGATTTCTCAACAGTTAAAAACTCATCTATTTAAGGAGCACTTTGAGCAATGTGAGGCGTCCCTATGGGCCTCCCATTGTTTTTAATAATAAATGACTACTTTCATGCTATTGCACTTTGTTGATGTTCGGTCACAAATTTCAGTACACTTTGGTTTTTGGTCATTGTGGTGATTTATTGTAGAATTTGTTTCCACTTTGGAGGTAAGGAACCTTTAATGAATTAACTCTAGGGAGGTGAAGGAGCTGTACCAATACAGAAAATATTAAAGCCCAGTTCTGCTACAGTAAATTAGGTTTTTAAAAATATATATTTTTCTGCTGCCTAATCTATTAACTAAGCACATGATCAGTTGTGGCCATCTTCCTGATGTACTCATGGATGTTTGTTGTTTCATCCTGGATATGACACTCACTAGTCCTCGGCCTCCTTCTGTCCGCTTTGCAAGCAGCCTCAGGGTGCTGGATTTGGGGTGAAATCATGTATGGTAAGGGGCTTACTAGTTTGTAAATATTTTCACAAATTACAATTAAGATATTGTAATAATTATATTTAAATCTTACAATTGTAATGCATTGTAATGACTGACTTTTTGTAGAAAAGTCAGCCATTCATGTTTTAGTGACGGTCATGGCAAATGAAAATTTAGCAGTGGTAGATAAAACTTAAATGCTATACTCAAATACCAATATCATGTACTTTACTATTACAGTGCCACATCTCCGAGGCACATATTACATTTGCTACTAAGCTTTAATTAGCCTACAAGTTACTTTTCAGATCACAATTTGTAGTGCCATTTGAAATCATTGAAAAAACAAGCATTTCAAACTTCCTTATGATGAATTTTAGTAATAAACTAGGCCTTGAGGGTCAGCTGTTCTCGGAAATTCTCAGACTTTATCGGTTGCTAAGTTGAAAACATTTTTGAGCTTGTCACTTTGTGGTTCTCACATGGTAGCTATACTTACACATGTGACAGTACCAAACCAGCAGAAGTAGCGATAATAAACTCAGCTTCAGTAAAATGCTGGGTACATACTAATGTAGCATATTATATGCAGTATAGAATACAAGTAGGTACTTACACTTACAAACTCCATTTTGCTGCACATGCACTTTATGTATATAACGGCAGCAGCAGAATTAGTAGGCTAACTTGTTTTATTTGCAACATGTCAGTAACATAACTGAATATAAAAAGAGCATCTTACAGAGGCAGAATTTCAAAGTGGTAAAGCTGGGCAGAGCTTGGTTGAATGTGGCATGTTGTATAAAAGCGCTATGAGTCAAGCTAAGAATCAGTCCATTTACCATGAATAAAAACCAGATCCTATATCACACAAGAGTGGGACAAAATTCATCTGCCAAAAGATCTCCTCAGTTCCCAAGATGGGTTTATTTTGCACAGTCACTGTACATGTACATACCACTACCTCTCCACTACAGCTGCTACAATATTTATAGTAAACTGTACTGATTTATTCTTTTCTTATTTTAAATAAATATATATTTTCTTTATTTATATAGTTCATCTTATTGTTATCTAAGTGTTTCTTGTGTGCAATTTTACCTTTCTATGTGCAATATTGAAGGGGCTCTGAGCCTAAGAATTTAACTGCTGGTAGTAATGTGCCATTGATACCTTTATATGACAAATAAACGACTTGAAAATCTGAAAGTTGAACTTGAAACTTGGAGGCTATATAAACATGGTCCTGTCCCTGTGGCTACAGTCAAATTCAAGGTGACATTTTTTTTCCTTAAAATGATTTTTTTTTTTTTCAGTTTAAACATTTGACACATGTTCTATGTACACGAGTTGTAATAATAGCTTATATGAGCGTCAGTATTACCGAATTATGTATTACCTGTCCAGGTAAGCAAGTCGGAGTTTATCTAATCTCCAAAAGTTGATTCTGTTCATCTGGACGTAGCGTTTTGTGGGAGAAACGTTTCGTCACTCATCCAAGTGACTTCTTCAGTCTCAGCTGACTGCAGGTTTCCCCAAATCTTATAAACAGTACATTTGCATATTAACTGAAACCAGCCCACTGAAGGAACAATGGGCTGGGAGGTCAGTTCCTCTGAATCGAGGAGGGGGCCTAAGGGTACATCTTTCGCTAAGGGTACATCTTACAATGCTGTGATTGCAGCAATTCCCCAACTCTCTGTGAATGGTACTCATGGCCAAGTGGTCTTTGATCAGTGGGTTTTGGTCAGTGATTGTTGATCAATGGTCATGAGAATTTGCATAATTATGATTAAGGAACTGACCTCCCAGCCCATTGTTCCTTCAGTGGGCTGGTTTCAGACATTATGCAAATGTACGATTTGGGGAAACCTGCAGTAAGCTGAGACTGAAGAAGTCACTTGGATGAGTGACGAAATGTTTCTCCCACAAAACGCTATGTCCAGATGAACAGAATCAACTTTTGGAAATTTACTTTCCTGGATGATTGAGAATGCAGATGTTTATCTAATGTTACCTCTATGCGTTAGAAGTCTGTACATTTGTCAAGAGGGTCAAACCCATGAGAGCAGCAAATAACACTCCCCAAAAACATGGATATGGCTCCTTCATGCGGTGACCTTATTTACTGCCTGCTGAGTTGAAGCTTGTGTTTGTAGCCGCTTGAAATTGTGTCGAATCTGCTGTGCGAGTCCACAGCCAGCGGAGCAAGATGGCGGTCCCTACGAAACAGTGAGTTGCAGACATGCTAGCATGATTATAACAACATGTTATTATATTGTTTCAGGTTGTTACGGTAAAGCTTAGAGCCATGCTAAAAGAGCTTATTTCACTATATCAGCCGTGTAGTACCAGCTCGGGGTTTTGTATAAAAACGTCGGCTCTCCTTGCAGCTAGCGACCCAGCTAGCGAAATGCTAACGTTATGCTAGTCTCTCTCATAACTTATTAAACAGCAGCTCCTTAACGTTGGTTATCAAAAAACCCGTTTTGTGTTTTTCATGGTTACCACTCCTCTGTCAGCTTATTATTTATTTTATTTTATTTTAACCCGAACAGATGGTTGTAGTTGGGAAGAGTTCACAGCAAATGCTAGTCATTCAAAATACAATTTGGTCTATTTGATCCGTAAAAAAACAAACAAATAATATGCTTGCTTGGTGTCACAGTCAGTTTAAAGCCTTTGCTGTTGTCCCCATTGAAGATGCATAATCATTATGATAACCAGTGAAAGCTTGTCAAATGTGCCGTTGAATCTGTATGCTATACAGATCATTTGTATAACTCTACACATGTATACATCTGTGCGTTTGTCCGTAGTACATCTGTATATTTGCTCTCTGTATAGCAATATAAACATCTGTATACTTATTTGTCAGAATCCGTTCATAATGATTCCCACCTTTTAAACTACCCTTATCTGTGTATAATCGCACTTTTGCACTTACTGCTTTTGCACTTCTGTTTCGATGTAAACTGTATTTTGTTACCCTGTACTTATACATGTGTAATGACAACAAAGTTGAATCCTAATCTTAATCCTAATTTAAGAACCTCTGTTTCGTGATTATCCTCAGGTATGGGCTCATTTTGCCACAAAAGAAGGGATTATCAAAGACCAATACCTTACCAAAACCCTCTGTATTCGATGATGACTCCGATGAAGAGGTGGGTAAACAGATTTGTTATAAACAAGACATTACAATTTGTACTTTGTCACTTAGTAAAATGAATTTTATTCAAGTATTTTGTCTATTAAGAAACTGAAAATAAATAATGAAGAAGTTTATCCACTAACTAGCTTGCTTGTTAGCAGGCTTCTTTCTAAATATACTGAATTTATTTTTGTATGTTTTTTCCCTCAGACCTCAGTTGGGGAAAGCCTGCAGAGAGAATCTATAAAAAAGAAGATGATGAAACAAGTAAGAAGAAAAATTAAAAGATTCAATTAAATTAAAAACAAACAAACAGTGATTTGATGCCTTCATCTTTCTGTCTTCCGCTTTCCTTCTTTCTGAAGACGCGTCTGGAGATGCAGAAGGCCCTGGAACAGGACAGTACTGTATATGACTACGATGCTGTGTACGATGACATTCAAAAACAGAGACTAGAGACCAGCAAAAAAATCCTGGGAGGCACAGACAAAAAGGTAAATTAATTTATTTTATATAAAGCTGTGCTTGAAAACTAAGCAGCTGGAGTAGTAACAAAACCTCAGTGCTGCTGTTCGGTTCAAGTTGTTTTCTGATGTCCATTTGATGTAATATATGAGATGAAAATTTGTCTGTCTCTCTTTGTTACAGCCAAAATATATCCACCAGTTAATGAAAGCAGTAGAGGACCGAAAGAAAGAGCAAGAACGAAGGGAGGAGAGGAAGATTCAGAAGGAAAGAGAAGCAGAGGGAGAGAAGTTTGCGGATAAAGAGGCTTATGTTACATCCGCCTATAGGCAAAAACTGCAGGAACAGAAGGAGGAGGAGGAGAGAGAGAAGCGAGAGGCAGAGATGGAAGGTTGGAGTGATACTTAGCAGTTGTTATTAATGTCTGTGAATGACTGATGCAACTTTTTGTCATCTTTGAGCATTTTGGATATTTTAAATACAAAGTATGTGTAATTTGTTAAAATTTGTGTTTACTTAGCTGCTTTGGATGTGAAGAAACAAAAAGACCTGAGTGGCTTTTATCGGCACCTGTTGAATCAGACTGTAGGAGAGGAGGCAATACCAGATCGCTCTGCGAACAAGTCAGTCATAGCTTCTCATTACTTGCTCACCGATGAACATGTGCATGTTTTGTTTTTTTTGTTTTTTTCGGAGTCTTTATTATATCACTGTTTCTTTTACAGACCTCAAACTTCAAAGGATTCAAAAGACACAGAAAAGACTTCACCTGCTTCCTCGCCTCCATCCAATGAAAATATCCCAAGTTCAAGCAGTGACATCGAGGAGGCGCATGAGCAGAAATCTGGGTTTAGCAAGCCTGGGGGCGGCTCTGCACACTCAAAACGCCAGTACAGGCAGAGGTCACCTTCATCAGGGAGCGGTGATGAAAAGGAGAGGGAAAAGGAGAAGGAGCGAGACAGACATAAAAAGAGCCACAGAGACCAAGACAGAGCAAGGAATAGAGAGAGAGAGCGAGAAAGAGACAGAAACAGGGGAAGGGAAAGAGATGACAGGCATGGAGAAAGAAGAAGCGACAGAGATAGAAGGAGAGACAGAGACCGAGGTAGAGAAGACGACAGAGGTAGAGGAGGCAGAGGTGATACCGAAAGGGACGACAGGCATGGAAAGAGGGAGAGGAGCTCCAGAGAAAGAGAACGGGATAAGAATGGGGAGAGGGAAAAGAGAAGGAAACCGGATGAAGACAAGAGGAAAGACAGACATCTGGAGGAAGAGCAGGCACTACGGAAGGAACCAGAGAAGGAGAAGGGCATGAACAAGGAAGAAAATGAACTTGAAAGGAAGGAAGAAGTTGAATGCACAATAGAGAACAAAGATGAGCAGAAAAATCAAGGTGAGGAGAAAGAGGAAGCGGAGGAGAAGACAAACAAGTTTGCAAAGCGCAGCACAGATCAGACTGTGAGTTCGGCAAGAGAGAGGTACATGGCCAGGCAGATGGCCCGCTCTGCATCTAAAAGCTATATCGAGAAAGAGGAGGACTGAGAGCACACACAGAAAACATCTCCAAACTGCACTCTGTGTTTTGAGAATATTTATATTTTGTTTAAAAGACATCCCTTAAAAAAGCAAAATATTTTTTCTTTCTTTAAACACTTAGTGCTAACTGAACCTGTAGGGTGGTTCTTACTGAAAAATAAACATTTTAACATCTTAACATGAAGCTGTATGTAAGAGACTTATTTAAATGTTTAGGGGGAAAATCCTCAAACTGGAGGAAATTGGGAAAATGTATTTTTAAGGACTATTTTTCACTGTGGATTAATGCATACATGGTGGACTAGTGGGGCTTTAAGACTAGAACAGGATGAACTGCAATGTTTGTGTTCATTTTAAAGAACATCCTCCCACTGCAGCAATGTGGATTTTTGATCTTCATAATGTTTCTGAACAGCAGTAAAGCTCAAACTGAGTAAGATGACAGTACTTGTTAGTAGGGTAAGTTTATTGTTGGTTATAGTCTTTTCATGGAACATTAATATGATTATAGTACATTACCAACCTTTTCCTGTAACCACCATACAATGAACAGACTGAAAGTGTGCAAATATTTCAGTCCCTGGCAAAGAAATGCAGATTTGTGTTTTATCTTTGTAAAAATAAAAATGTTGAATATGAGGGGTTTTTTCTAGAGAGCCTCTTGTATCCTGTCCTAAATGAATGAGTGTAAATCGTACGTTTTATCTCAGCTGCTAAACTGCAGATTTGACTTCTGAACTGGTGATGTGTTCATTCACTTTTTATTTTTCTGGTGTATTCAGTGATGGACTAATAAAATAAGGTCTGATTCACAGTTTCTACTGCTCCTCCTGGTCAGTCTTAATTCCATACTGAAATAAGTACAAAAGAGAATTCAGAGGGTATCATTTTTTATTGCTATTTAATCATTGCAAAGGAAAGTTGGAGATACAGAGAATTGACAGTTAAACATATTTATTTGCTTTCACCATTAATGCTGCTGAGTCACTATTATGCCTATTTCACAATATGTTTTACTTAACATGGGCATTTTTTTAATGTATAATTTGCTCAAACACAGATATTGATCACTGTTAACTGTCAAATAATCAGTTTGCTCATTTGTGTCACAACAATATTAACCCTTTGACTGCCTCACCAAGAAAAATACAATGAAAAAATTATTTGTTCATATTTTCTATTCCTTTAGGTCAATAATGATCACAATCAAAAAATAAATTTTATACACACCTTATAGTTTTTTTAAATATTACCCTCTACCAAACGGTTGAGATGTCGCTCTATGGTACAACTACATAAAGTTCCACAGACATAACTAGTAGAAAAAAGTAAAGGTTGTACTCATTTTGCAAAACAATAACTACCCAATTTTGTGTTTGACCCACTTTATTGTGGTAGTAAAACATCAAACATTGTTGGATTCCATTTCAACAGTGGGCGTTATACTAACAAACCACAAAATGTATAAAACACAAAAATATTGTAAATTTGATCAAAAACTTGATCTGCAATTACTGAAAATTCATAAACATACAAATTCACTTTTGACCTGTTGTTAACATAAACACTGTAGTGTTTGAACAGCACTAACATTTTTTATTTTATTTTCCAGAACATTCTGGTGGTATATTATATTGCCATTTTGCACTGAAAATTTTGAGAACACACTGAAACAGTTCTGGCTCTTTTCTTTTGCCGTTCATGCAACTTCACCAATATCCCTTGATGATTAGATCTTCTGGTGGTACACTGCAAAGCATTCCTGACTGGCATTCAAGCACAAGAAAACGTTGCATTTTTGGCATTTCCATCTTGAGACGCCCTTTGGACAGTAATTGCATCGGCCTCGCTTGTCATAGTGAAGTGGCCAATGCCCAAAGCAGTCATATCGCACATCTGGCTGTGGGTGTGAGGGTCTTGGGGTGTATCGTTTCTTTGGTGGTGGTGGAGAGCTGGATGCTGGCTTGTTGACTTGTTTCAAGCTATGCGCAACTGCCAGGCGGAATCTTTTGAGTGTGATTGGTTTCTGGTTTAGTTGTCCCCTTTCCCTCTTGTAGACCAGCCAGGAATTTGCAATGGACAGATCAAGCATGTAACCAAAGAGTGGCAGGTACCATCTTGTAGACTTGGCTGGGGTCTTGTACAGGTGTACCAGCATGTCAGAGAGATCTATCCCTCCCATATGCTCATTGTATGCAGGGATGAGTGATGGGCATGGGATCATAACTTTCGCCTTGGACTCTTTGCTCCAGCGTTTGACAGTTGAAAGTGGCATGATCGCAGAAGCATTACTTAGCAGGTTCACACATTTGTTGTCAAACCATTTAACTGCGATCACACCTTCAGCAGACCTGTAGTCAAAAGCTCCACGCCCTCTCTTCATCAGCTCTTTGTCTGTCATCAAAGTGGCTCCACCTGTGCGATTTGGTCGAACAGTGCCAATGCA